TAGCTCAGTGGCAAAGCGCCTGCCTGGCAAGCGCAAGGTCGTGAGTTCGGTTCCCGGTACCGGAGAAAAACCAAAAAAAAAAAAAAAAAATTAAAGGGATTTAATTTTTTAAATCTGGATCCCTTGTGTCTCTCTTAAACAAAAGGTTTTCTTTTTCTCAATAAATTCTTCCTACTCTTAACCAACATTGTTACTAGAATTCATTGTTCTATTTTAGAGAACACAAAATAGGCATTTTGGACATCTAGCAGGTTGGGAGTTATATTTCCCTAATATTATTTGGAGGTCCTATATCATATGCCCTGTACCATTTGGAGCTCCTCCACTGAGATAACTGGGCGGACGTAAGAGTTTGCTTTTGTTTCATAGATTCTGGATTGTGACTTGCCTAGGTAATCAAAATTTTTATGCTTCAAATTTTTCCAATTGGATCAATATTACCTAAGTGACTATACTTGTAACTTTATTGATTGATTGACTATAGTTCTGTCCCACCTTAGACCTGATTCAACTCATGATTTTTTTGTTTGTTCGTTTGTCTTACTGTGGAGGTCAGGCTGGCCTTGAACTCAATTTGTAGCCCAAGCTGGCCTCAAACTTACAGCAATTCTCCTGCTTCAGCCTTCTGAGTGCTGGGATTACATCACCTCATGGTTTTATTCTACAAAACTCCTTTGAGAAGTGGGGTCCCTGGCCACCCACTCAGGACCCCTTCTGTCTCTCCTAGACAGAAGCTTTACTTTCAGTAAATTCTTCCTACTCTTAAAATAAAAATAAAAATAAAAATAAAATAAAATTACAGAAGGGCTGGAGATGTAGCTTAGTGCAAAGGTCTGGGTCCAATTCCCAGTATTGAAAAAAAAGAATTTAGAAAAAAGAAAGGAAGAAGGAAAGAAAAAGAGAAAAAAGAAAAGGAAAGGAAAAAGAAAGTGAAAATTGAAAAGATATACCATAGAGCAGAAGATATTTACAATATATATAACCAACAAAGGACCAGTAGTACCCAAATATACATAAAACTTTTACAAAGCACTAAAATCCAACATAAAAATGGGCAAAAGTACTTAAGAGAAAAAAACCTAAATGGCCACAACATGAAAATGTCTGACTTTATTAGTAATCAAGGAAATGAAAATTAAACTATAATAACAAAAAGATTTCACATGATGGCAAAACTTTTAGAAGTCTGGCAGGGTATAGTGGTATACGTCTGTAAACCCAGCACTCTGGGAGGCTGATGAAGGAGGATCACAAATTTAAACCCAGCCTAAACAACTGAGTGATTTTGCAAAACTGTCTCAAAAATTTTTTTTTAGAATTGTTTTTTTAAAAAAGCATGGTTGGGGCTGGGGATATAGCTCAGTGGCATAAGCGCCTGCCTGGCAAGCGCAAGGTCATGAGTTCAATAGCTGGTACCGCAAAAAAAATAAACAAATAAATAAATAAATAAATAAAAGAG